GTTGGGACCTTTGAGATAAATGACTCCAGAGCTATGGATTTCAATTCAGAAGCTGGGTTCTTGTTTCTTAGCTGTACACCCAGTAACTTAGTGATCCCATAAAACATGACTTGCCCCTGTATACCAATATATACTTGCTCCCCTCAGCTCTCAGGTTGGGAATGGTCTTTGCGAAGTTCGCAGTTGCCCTGGGGCACTACACAGACGATGGCGCAAAAGTGTGTTCTTCATGGACGAGAATTTCACGTGGAAGTTCTTGGCGTTCATGTCTGAATGTTTTTGGTGACCTATCAAATCAAAGCCCTTTGTGTCAGCAGCAAATTTGATGATATCAAGGTGGGGATGGAATTAATATATGGGAAATCCTGCATGTTATATATGTGCTTACACATGTGAAAGCATGAGTGTACTTGTGCAGGCTGGTGGCAATAATGTTAATAAGCATTGCAGTCCATGCCACATTCCTTTGTGAGCAGCCTGCTGGCAGCGTTTTTTTTCCCAACCACCCACGGCTCTCTTGGTTATGCAACCGGGTGGCCTTTGTACCTTAACTGATATTTTTCATAACCCATAGTCTTTGGATACCCCAACCTCGAGCTAGCTAGCTATTTCGCAACTCCAAAAATGGATGGCCCAAAAGTGGATCGAAATCACCAAAAAGAACGACAGTGGTGGGAGTGTCCGAAAAATTCTGGTTGGAGCATTGGTCCCCAGCTTAGACCTGTTCTATACATTTATTTTGGGGCCTATACTCGTCCTCACTTGCCCCCCAGGATAAAGGATGCTTGAAGAAGGTGATCAAGGACAAAAAAGCAAGGTGAAGACTACTCGCTTGGATCTTGGATCTGATTTCATGCAGATATACATTATATCCGCCGACCCCGGCCTTCGCCAAGGCAGGGGCGGCGCCTGGGACCACCGCAGGTGTGGAACTTCTTTTTCTTGGCTCCAAATGCTGCACTGCTTCCTCGCGGCAGCTGCCACCAAGGCCTCTGGCCGTCAGCCTTTGCTGTTCCAGGGTTGCAGCCTGCCCTTTGCCTGCACATAGCGCTCTGTTATTGAGGCATTCAAGCCTGCCGTTTGCCAGGCTTCAAACGCTTAAAACTATGAAAACCCTCCAAGTCCCTCGCACCACCTGCCACCCAAGCCCCTTCAAACGCTCAAAATCCTTACAACCCTCCAACTGCTGCACTGCTTCCTCGCGGCAGCTGCCACCAAGCCCTCTGGCCGTCAGCCTTTGCTGTTCCAGGGTTGCAGCCTGCCCTTTGCCTGCACATCCCTCGCGGCAGCTTCCACCAAGCTCCTGGCCGTCAGCGTTCCAGCATTGCAGCCTGCCCTTTGCCTGCACATAGCGCTCTGTTGTTGGGGCATTCAAGCCTGCCGTTGGCCAGCCTTCAAACGCTTAAAACCCTTAAAACCCTTAAAACCATTCAACCTTCAAACGCTCAAAACCCTTACAACCCTCCAACTGCTGCACTGCTTCCTCGCGGCAGCTGCTACCATCCAACCTTCAAACGCTCAAAACCCTTACAACCCTCCAACTGCTGCGCTGCTTCCTCGCGGCAGCTGCCACCAAGCCCACTGGCCGTCAGCCTTTGCTGTTCCAGGGTTGCAGCCTGCCCTTTGCCTGCACATAGCGCTCTGTTGTTGGGGCATTCAAGCCTCCCGTTTGCCAGCCTTCAAACGCTTAAAACCCTTAAAACGCTCCAAATCCCTCGCGGCAGCTGCCACCAAGCCCTCTGGCCATCAGCGTTCCAGCATTGCAGCCTGCCCTTTGCCTGCACATGGCCTCTCTTGTTAGGTCATTCAAGCCTCTCGCCGTCAGCGTTCCAGCATTGCAGCCTGCCCTTTGCCTGCACATAGCCTCTCTTGTTAGGGCATTCAAGCCTGCCGTTTGCCAGGCTTCAAACGCTTAAAACCCTTAAAACCCACCAAGCCCTCTCGCCGTCAGCGTTCCAGCATTGCAGCCTGCCCTTTGCCTGCACATAGCCTCTCTTGTTAGGGCATTCAACCCTGCCGTTTGCCAAGCTGCAAACGCTTAAAACCCTTAAAACCCTTGAAACCCTCCAACTCCCTCGCGGCAGCTTCCACCAAGCCCTCTGGCCGTCAACTTTTGCTGTTCCAGCATTGCAGCCTGCCCTTTGCCTGCACATAGCGCTCTGTTGTTGGGGCATTCAAGCCTCCCGTTTGCCAGCCTTCAAACCCTTAAAACCATCCAACCTTCAAACGCTCAAAACCCTAACAACCCTCCAACTGCTGCACTGCTTCCTCGCGGCAGCTGCCACCAAGCCCTCTGGCCGTCAGCCTTTGCTGTTCCAGGGTTGCAGCCTGCCCTTTGCCTGCACATCCCTCGCGGCAGCTTCCACCAAGCTCCTTTTTGGGCCGTTTCGCTTCCAGCATTGCAAGCCTGCCCTTTGCCTTGCAACATAGCCCTCTCTTGATATAGCGGCAGTAAGCTGGCCGGTTTTGCAGGCTTCAACGCTTAATTAAAAACGCTTCATTTTTTTAAAACCCTTAAAACCTTAAAAACCCTCCAAACTCCCTGCGGCAGCTTCCACCAAGCCTCTGGCCGTGCAGCTCCTTTTGCTCGTTCCAGCATTTGCAGGCCTCTGCCCTTTGGCTAGCCACATAGCGCTCTTAGTTGTTGCGGGCATCACGCCTCCCGTTTTAGCCAGCCTCTAAACGCTTAAAAAACCCTTTTTTTTTTTATTTTTTGTTTAAACGCTCCAAATCCCTCGCGGCAGCTGCCACCAAGCCCTCTGGCCGTCAGCGTTCCAGCATTGCAGCCTGCCCTTTGCCTGCACATAGCCCTCTCTTGTTAGGGCATTCAAGCCTGCCGTTTGCCAGGCTTCAAACGCTTAAAACCCTTAAAACCCTCCAACTTCCTCGCGGCAGCTTCCACCAAGCCCTCTGGCCGTCAGCTTTTGCTGTTCCAGCATTGCAGCCTGCCTGCCCTTTGCCTGCACATAGCGCTCTGTTGTTGGGGCATTCAAGCCTGTTGGGGCATTCAAGCCTCCCGTTTGCCAGCCTTCAAACGCTTAAAACCCTTAAAACCATCCAACCTTCAAACGCTCACAAAACCCTTACAACCCTCCAACTGCTGCACTGCTTCCTCGCGGCAGCTGCTACCATCCAACCTTCAAACGCTCAAAACCCTTACAACCCTCCAACTGCTGCACTGCTTCCTCGCGGCAGCTGCTACCAAGCCCTCTGGCTGTCAGCCTTTGCTGTTCCAGGGTTGCAGCCTGCCCTTTGCCTGCACATCCCTCGCGGCAGCTTCCACCAAGCTCCTGGCCGTCAGCGTTCCAGCATTGCAGCCTGCCCTTTGCCTGCACATAGCCCTCTCTTGTTAGGGCATTCAAGCCTGCCGTTTGCCAGGCTTCAAACGCTTAAAACCCTTAAAACCCTTAAAACGCTTAAAACCCTCCAATTCCCTCGCGGCAGCTTCCACCAAGCCCTCTGGCCGTCAGCTTTTGCTGTTCCAGCATTGCAGCCTGCCCTTTGCCTGCACATAGCGCTCTGTTGTTGGGGCATTCAAGCCTCCCGTTTGCCAGCCTTTAAACGCTTAAAAAACCCTTAAAACGCTCCAAATCCCTCGCGGCAGCTGCCACCAAGCCCTCTGGCCGTCAGCGTTCCAGCATTGCAGCCTGCCCTTTGCCTGCACATAGCCCTCTCTTGTTAGGGCATTCAAGCCTGCCGTTTGCCAGGCTTCAAACGCTTAAAACCCTTAAAACCCTCCAACTTCCTCGCGGCAGCTTCCACCAAGCCCTCTGGCCGTCAGCTTTTGCTGTTCCAGCATTGCAGCCTGCCTGCCCTTTGCCTGCACATAGCGCTCTGTTGTTGGGGCATTCAAGCCTGTTGGGGCATTCAAGCCTCCCGTTTGCCAGCCTTCAAACGCTTAAAACCCTTAAAACCATCCAACCTTCAAACGCTCACAAAACCCTTACAACCCTCCAACTGCTGCACTGCTTCCTCGCGGCAGCTGCTACCATCCAACCTTCAAACGCTCAAAACCCTTACAACCCTCCAACTGCTGCACTGCTTCCTCGCGGCAGCTGCTACCAAGCCCTCTGGCTGTCAGCCTTTGCTGTTCCAGGGTTGCAGCCTGCCCTTTGCCTGCACATCCCTCGCGGCAGCTTCCACCAAGCTCCTGGCCGTCAGCGTTCCAGCATTGCAGCCTGCCCTTTGCCTGCACATAGCCCTCTCTTGTTAGGGCATTCAAGCCTGCCGTTTGCCAGGCTTCAAACGCTTAAAACGCTTAAAACCCTTAAAACCCTTAAAACCCTCCAACTCCCTCGCGGCAGCTTCCACCAAGCCCTCTGGCCGTCAGCTTTTGCTGTTCCAGCATTGCAGCCTGCCCTTTGCCTGCACATAGCGCTCTGTTGTTGGGGCATTCAAGCCTCCCGTTTGCCAGCCTCTAAACGCTTAAAAAACCCTTAAAACGCTCCAAATCCCTCGCGGCAGCTGCCACCAAGCCCTCTGGCCGTCAGCGTTCCAGCATTGCAGCCTGCCCTTTGCCTGCACATAGCCCTCTCTTGTTAGGGCATTCAAGCCTGCCGTTTGCCAGGCTTCAAACGCTTAAAACCCTTAAAACCCTTAAAACCCTTAGAACCCTCCAACCCCCTCGCGGCAGCTTCCACCAAGCCCTCTGGCCGTCACCTTTTGCTGTTCCAGCATTGCAGCCTGTCTATCCATCTATCTGTCTGTCTGTCTGTCTGTCTATCTATCTATCTATCTATCTATCTCTCTATCTCTCTCTCTCTCTCCCCCTCTTTACAGGACCCCCCGAATGGGGGGGGTCGGCGGCACCAGGGCGCTAGCCCATTCTATAAAGACATGCATGGTCTATTGACAAAGTGCCAAGCGGGGGAGCAAACCAACGGCTGTCACTACCTTTTGCACCAATAGGGGCTGCAGCGTCGTGTCGGTAGTGTGGTCAAACAACACTATACCACTGTACATTGGATTCATGGTGGGACCGTTTCACAGCTCCACCAACTTTATGTTGACCACACTATGTTGCTAACTATCTTCGCGTAGTAGAGCTCCTCAGCTAGCAACTTTTCGCTGCTTCTCCGTGTCCTCGAGCGGGCCGACTCATCTCTCTTCCTTCTCATCATCTCTGCGTCCTCCTTGTCGATACGCAGTTGCCCAGTCTTCAGCAGGTGGAGTAAGGTTCCATTCGTCTTACTGAAGTCCACCTTGGTCAGCATGTCGACGGGCATACGCTGGTGGGGCGTCCAGCGAATCTCTGAGCCGGCCTTCTGCACGGAGTCCACGATGACCGCAAGCTCCAAGGCGGTGCGTCTGTCCTGCCGTGAGGCAGGACATTGTTTGAAAATGGCGTCATACAGCGACTTGGCATCCGTGATCTGGCACTGCTCCTGCCTTGCCACCAATTCGCACTCCTCCGGCAGGTAGATGAGGTAGGGGCTCAGACTGTGATGCCATTCTTGGACCTTCACGTCTCCGAACATCAGGTCTCGGTAAAAGATCTGCATCCACTCGACCTCTCCAATGCACTGAGACATAGAAACCGTCTCTCCGGCCATCGTGCTTGTCACCCTCCGCTTCAGCTTCGATGACCTCCAACTCAAGACGCTGACATTGATCTTCAGGTCATGTGCAGGAAGGAGGTCTGATGCCAGGACGATCCAGGCCCCCTGTACGGGGTCCTCCGGCAGGCCCATTTTGTCCAGGCCTCTGATGTCACCGTCGACACCGCCGGCATCACTGATCCCGATGAACTTCATCTCCTCCTTCTTGAAGCCCTTGAGTCGGAGAGGTTGCTTTGCGGTGCTCCTCAAATGGCCCACCAGTTTGTTGAGCATGATCACGTCATTGATGTTCGCCTGGTGGAGCCTGCTTGAGAGGATGGATACCACTCCCGAGGCTTCTGGCCTAGTCTGATGCGCCAGCCAGCTCGCTCTGTATAGCATGCTTCGGAAGTCCTTGAACTCCTCCTCCTGAAGAGGTGCATCCTTGTTGGATCTCCTGCCCTTGGAAAGGTGGACCGCCTCCATCTTCTCAATGATGTACTTCTCCTGGTCCATTCGAATTTCGTTGCCCTCCTTCTTGATGTGACGGCCGATAAAGTCGGCTTCTCCGACCTCCCATTTTCCGAACCGGAATCTGGACATCAGCTTGTCCTTGGCCTCCTGCTGAATCTTCTCGTCCTTCGCCGCCACGATGAAGTCGTCCACCTCGATGAGGATGAGCAGGACCAGTTCGTTGTGCTCGTTGTGCTGGACGTAGACGCAGGGGTCCAGTAGGCTCTTCCTCAATCCCATGGACCGGAGAAAGCGGGTCACCGTCTCAAACCATCTCAGAGGCGCATCATCCAGGCCATAGACTGGTTGTACCAGCTCAATGAGGTCTCCCTTCTCGACTGGAACTCCATCACATGGTTCAACGAACAATCTGCCCCTGGGCCTCGCCAGCTTGTCAGACTGGGCAAAGGCGGCCTTCACGTCAGCGAACAGGAGATGTAGGTTCTCGTTGGCGATGACCTGGCAAACCATGTTCAAAGCCTCGGAGCTTGGAGTGGGAGCGAAGGTGCGGAACGTTCCTCCGTCTGGATCCTTGTGTCCATGAACACAGAACCTGGACTTGGCCTTGAACTTGTGCAGCCCAGGCATAGGTTTCTTTCGCCTCACCATTCGGGAAGTCATGATGCGGTGCTTGTACTTCTCCCTGAGGTCTTTGGCTTCTCCTCCTTTCCACACCTTGACGGCCTGGAATCCATTCTCCAGATCATTCCACTCAGTGAGGTCCGACTTCTTGAATTCCAGGACCTCATCCGGCGTCATCTGCGACCAGGTGATCTCGCCATTCCTGACTTGCTCAGTGGCCCAGATCTGCTTCGGCCCTGTCTGCATCTCCTCACAAGGACCGTGCGGCTCAAGCTCAAACAAGGCCTCTATGGGGAGCTCCCCAAGGTCCAGTCCATTCTCACAGAAGTACGCCTCGTTATAGGCAATGCAGTGCTCCTTGAAGATCTCCCGATGCTCGCGCTTCCCCGGGACGTAGAGCTCGTCAGCGTTGAGGTCTGTGGCTGGACCCCCCATGGTGTCCAGCGGTATCCGAGGTGGTCCTCCAATTTGCCGCCTCAACACTTCAGGAAGTGGGGACCTTGATCTCCTCCTTGTCATGTGTGGTCGGCTCTCGATCTCTTGAACTCGTTCTCGTACCCTTGCCTCTCTGTAGGTGCGTGGGTCGTTGGAAGAGGAAGAAACTTCTTCCTGTCCGGGCGGCCTGCCTGGTTGAGGCTCCTGTGGTGTAGCGCGTGTCTCCTCAATTGTGGGCAAAGGTTCCTTGCTGACCTTCCGCCTCTTCCCTTCTGCGTCTTCTGCTCCATCACCGCGTGGGGTAGTTGCTGCTGAGGGCTCGGAGAGTGGCTCTGACACAGTGTCCAGTGAATGTCTTCTCACCATTCCCCTTCTCACATTGGGACTAGTTGTCGCGCACTGGGAGGGCTGGCTCTGAGCCGTCACCAGTTCTGGACAGTGTCGAGGCTTCTTCTCCTTCAGCGGGAGCGGTTCTCCAGGCGTTGTCAGATGGTGCTCCTTCTCGTGCCACATCCACCGCACCGGCTCTTTGTCCTCTCATCTGCTGTAGAAGATCTCGATACTGATCTGTGAGGACCACTTGCATCCCGAGCTCCTCAGTGGCGGTGGCCGGCCTGAGCTGGTCTGTGTTGCACTTCCACAGCCTGCTCCTCATGGCTACGTAGACCGTGTGCCCATTCTGGAGTATCACAAGGCCTGGGCCTACCCATCTCGCACGCTCACTTCCTTGAGCGATCCTCCACACCAGGACCCATTGTCCAGCCGTCCAAGTCCTGTAGCGGTGCATGGGCGGCTTGGCAGCATCCCTCAGCTTCTCCTTGCTGGTGTGCTCCATGGCGAGCTTCTTGGCCTGCTCTCTGATGCGATGAGCTCGCTTGAACTCTGCGGCAGCGGTGTCCATCTCGGTGGGATCGCACAGGATGTCGGACCAACCGGGGCTTGCCTGATCTGCATCAGACAAAAGCTCTGGTGGTAGTCGGGGATTCCTTCCGTAGACAATCTGTGCTGGGCTGTAGCCACCTCGAGAGAACCAAATGTTCTTGCAGCTGACCAGCTCCATGATGAGGTTGTCCAGGTCGTTCAGGTTCTCCAAGATCGAAGAGCCAGACGCCAGTTCGAGCTCCACCCGGTCTTTGATCCATTGCCCATGTCTTTCCACCCTGCCATTCCGCCATGGGGACTGGATGTCAGTGACATTGTGTAGGACGGAGAGTTGCTCGAGACCTCGTTCAAAGCGTCCACGAAACTCCATTCCACCGTCCGTCACAAGAACTTCTGGTGCTCCATGTGGTCTGATCCAAGAGCTCATCATCCAATGCCAGGTATCTTCAGATTTGGGGTTGCCATTGGTTGGTTCGCCTCCTTCTGCCGGTCGAACCATCGCCACACACTGCCAGTTCGACCCGTGGTCGACCAGGTTGAGGAAGGGAACCTTCTTGTTGCCCCAGCGCACGAAAAAGACATCAGCGCCTACTATCCTGTTGAACTCGAACGTGCGCGGGAACGCTGCTCTTCTCCTGGACACCTGTCTGCGCTGCTTCATACATGTCTGAGCATCGTCACCATGCGCTCCACAGGCAAATGGCCCATATTGTGATGCAACCTCTTCACCAGGTCTTTCTGAGCTTGTGAGAGCTCCTGTTCTCGCACGACCGTTGAGTCCTGGTTTGGCTGATCATCATCTAGCTGCTCCTCATGTTCAGGTGACTCCTCACTCTCAGATTCTTCGACCTCAACTCCTGACCATTCCAGCTGTCGAAGGATTCCAGCTAAGATGGTCCTGATGAGCCTCTGTGGCCAGACCTGGGCTAGCAGAGGTAAACCTCCTTCCAACTTCACATGCACGTGGCTTCCATCGCACTGGTACTCCACGATCTCGTCTGCAATGCCGAGATGGTTGAGCATGAAGGCAGTCCGCTTCTTCGAAGGTCCAGCGGGATGTACCTGTAGGCCCAGCATACATTGGTCAAACGCAATGTGAAGCACCTGCTCCTGTTTCGCAAGCCATACAGCGGCATGGGTGTTCCAAGAGGAAGCACCATCAGGTTGCTCCAGGATGAATTCCTTCCCGCGAGAGAGCTGCTCGTCCGCGACCTGCACACAGAATTGGAACATCGTCATGCATGCCTTCTGAAGCTTCTCCTTCTCTACCTCGTCCATGCGATCCCAGTTGGAGTTCATGAGGATGCTGAAAGCTCGGCAGACCGGGGTCATGATCACCAAGTCGGGCTGTTGTTCCTCGAAGCACTGCCAGAACATCTTCCGATCCTGTGCATCAAAGAAGTCCCAGCCGCAGTCCTTGTCGAAGGCGGCTGGTTCGGTGTGCCCGATGTTGCGATAGCCCCCAGTCATGATCTCCGCAGTGACTCGGGGAGGAGAGAAGAGCTCCATGACCTTGTACACGACACGTTCTTCTCCAAACTCCATGAGGACGTCAGGGGATGGGGGGGGCGTGGGTGAGGGCTCCCTGTTGGGCTCTTGGTCGGTGTCCTCGTCGATAAAACCTTCAGCCTCCAGTGCCCTACGTGTCGCCCTTCTCACACCAGTGGACACTCCACACTCATAGTCATCATTGATGTCCTCGTCCTCAAAGTAGTCCTTCAACTCCGGGGTGCTCCAGGCAACCTTGATGTCATCCTGCTCCATGAAGAACGTCTTCCGGGCGTACCGAGGAAGTCCATGATGTAGACGACATGCAGTGTTGGGAGCCGTGGCAAAATGCATCAGTGGTACTGCGGGGGATCTGACACGTTCGCCCACTCCTCCTCGTCTTGGGCTCGTCGTAGTTGTTGAGTCATCTCCGTCATCGCCTGAGCCATTGCTCCCTGGGTCTGCTGCACGGTGGACATCAGCATGGTCTGGTTGTTCATTGACTGCTGCGTCATCTCGAGCAGAGCCTGTTGCCCCGACATCAACGGGGTAATTGCCTGAGCCAGCACCGTCGACATCCCCGTGAGCAGCTGCTGGTTCGACTCCTGTAAAGACGCTTGCAGGGCCTCCGGAGCCATGTGCTGGGAGCTCGAAGCTGCTTCTGCCTTGGCTTTCGGCGCCCGCTTCGGCTCCAGGGGTGCTGCCGTCGCCACATAGACAATCTCTCTGCCCTTCTTGTCCTTCTTCTTGCCGTCCTGCTTGGAAGAGAAGGGCCGGTATGCTAGCTTCGTCTTGCAGCGTAGGCATCGATCCCACTCCCCGTACTGGTTGCGCCCCTGCACCACGCAGCTGGGTGGATGGAGACATGGCTTCTCTCCTTTGATCTTCTCCTTGACCTGGTGGGCCTCCTTCTCCAACAGCGCGGTCGCCATGCGCAGCCATTGAGACTGCAGATCCCGCGGCATCCAAAGACGCAGCGATCGCGTAGCTGGGACCGGAAGGGGCCACTTCGAATTTTGAGCACAAAAGGCGCTGGTGCATAGAGTCTTTTGCAAGCTTCTTCACAAACACGGTGATTCCCGTCCAGGGTACTTCTTCTACTTGCCTGTCGCCTGCAAGCCTCCACGTGTCCACACTGTGTGATAAACTGCCATCTTCGTGCCGCTTCAAAGTCACTCTAACATCTTCCAAGTTCTTGTGATCTTCAACATGAGGCATGTAATGCGATCTGCGTGGAATGTGGTGTACATGCGTGATGATGGACTCTGTTTGTAATCCGACCCTCCCACTCAACTGCGGCAGCAGCTCCATGTATGCCTCCGAGGCGTAACAAGTCTCTAGGTTGAAGGATCCCTCAGGCAAGCCGTACTGGTCACGGAGTTGCTGAGGGACCGGAAATTCTCCTCCTTCCCACTTGGTCACGTCGATGGTCCTGTGCCCAGAAGACATGCGATGCATCTGGTCCTCGGCATCGTAGTTCTCGTACTTCAGAACATTGCCCTTGATGTCGATGATGGAACCCAGGCTTTCGAGCAAACCGATGCTCAAGAGATGCGGGATGTCCTGCTGCACCACGGTGATCTTCACAACTCCTGGAGCTCCACCGAGAACACAGGGAATGAGCGCCAGGAAGAGGGTCTTGGCTTTGCCACCAACACCTGCAGCGGCACCTGGGGTCTCCTCCAACTCAATGGGTCGTAGACCGCGCTCCTTCAGCTTCTCCTTCAGCCGCTCGTAGGCCTGCTGTCCAATGAGATCTTGTCCAGCTCCAGGATCCACTATCGCATGTCCACCAGGAAGAGAAATGAACACTTGCGGAGTGTCTGGAAGCCTGTATTGGTCCAGCACTCGTTGGGCGAACTCTGGAATCGCCATGCCCACGAACGTCTTGAGCTGTCCATCAGTCACATAGTCCTCAACGTTGAACTTCTCCTGAACGTAGGGCTCCCCATGCGTCTGCGTCTCTTGCAAGGCCAGCTCATAGGTTGCTTCCTCCTGGAAGCCCAAGTAGTTGAAACCGCCTAAATGAGGCTGCGCGCTCGATGTGGAAGAGGAAGAAGCGCCTAAAAAGACAAAAGCCGATGGTCCTCCTGCTCCTCGTCCGGCACCGCCCTTGGCGTGCTTCTCCTGCTCCAGCCGATCAGCCTTGGATCTGTATGGCTTCTTGCAGTCCTCCGCCCAGTGTCCACGATCTCCACAGTTGCTGCACCGCGAGACCTTCTTGATGGCGTCGACGTTGAAGCCTCGCTTTCCTTTGGGTCGGCCGGCACCATACGGACGCGTTGTCCGGTCAGAGAAGTGCCGTCTGTCTTTTCTCTGTGCCATCTTGAGCTTCTTGTTCTCCTTCCAGGAGCGCTTCTCCTTCTCGAGAGCCACGAAGACCTCCACCGCAACCTTCTCATCGAGGTCCATCTTCTCGATCTCCACCAGAATGTCCTCCTGATCCTGCGTCGCCAACGATGACACCTCGTCCTCGTCCACATTCTCGGAGGAGCCAGCGTCATCAAACGCTGGAAAGTTGCCTCCCTTGCCTTTGGAAGACACGTGCTCTTCCTCGAGGTCCAACACCTTGATGGCTTGGGAGACTGCATGATAGTCACTGGAGCCACCAGTGAGCGTTCGAAGGTTCAGCATCGCCTGCTTGCTCAGGTTTGCGTGCTCCTCCAACATGATGCCCTTCAAGTTATCCGGAATCTGAAGGTACTTCTCGGCCATGCTGAAGTCCTGATCCCTTCGAAGCGCAAACTGAGAGATTGACTCCTCGTTCTTGCGTCCTCCTTCGAACAGGGCGCGACGTACAACTCGTCGCATCTCTGAAGCCTGCTTCTCGCCCGCGAGCACGTCCAGGATGTTCAGCACGGCAGTCAAGTAGCCGTGCCCGGTGATGACGTCGTCCCCCAAGTGCTCAAAGCGAGCCTGCAGGTCCCAGTCCATGGTCTTGAAGATCCTCTCGGCCCTCCTATTGACCGAGACATCAGTGGACTGGTCCCATCTCTGTATAGATCGCTTCCATAAGCGATAGTTTGGCCATCCAGCCCAAGCCGGAGGGTCAGCGTAGTCCTTGCCTCTGGAAGCGGCAGACCACCAGTCTTCTCTCCATCCCCATTGATCACCCCAATCCCATTGTCGGTGACCTTCACCCCATTGTCGATCCTGCCATTCCCCTTGGCCTGGACCCGGAGCTTGCGAAGACCGTCGTCTTTCCCATGCTTCCTGCCATTCGTCACGGAGTCCGTCTGGTCGCTCCTGGTGCCCGCTCGGTGCTCCTTGATCTCCTCGAGCTTGATCGCCTTCGGTCGGCGTGTTGGTGGCGACCCTGATGAACTCGTCCACGGTCTCTTCGGACCTTGTTCCATCTTGCCCTCCAGCTCTGCCATGATCGCGTCGTAGACCTTCCACTCCGCCCCTAGGTGAAGGTAGCGACGCCATGGCGCTGCCCGCGGTCTCGGTCCCGGACACGCGGACCAAGCTCCGCGCTACCAACTGACAAAGTGCCAAGCGGGGGAGCAAACCAACGGCTGTCACTACCTTTTGCACCAATAGGGGCTGCAGCGTCGTGTCGGTAGTGTGGTCAAACAACACTATACCACTGTACATTGGATTCATGGTGGGACCGTTTCACACTATTCTTTTCCCGAGGCCAATATAGAAAGAAAGATGGCACCATGGGATTTTGTGGCTCTAAAGCGCTCAAGGGTACACAGTCCAAAACTCATCTTTTGTTGACACTCTTTTGTTGACACTCTTGCTAGACACTCTGCAGCTGAGAAACTTATAGCTAGCTTGCAGTCTGAATGACGTGCATTCTAAGGGAGTACCCAAAGGGGCTGGGCAAGGCACTGGTCAAAATTTGGCGTGACAACAAAATCCAACAGACTCCTATCGCATGCTTGCGACAAAAAAAAACCTTTCAACATATGACTTCAGAACTTCAACTGTTCAATTCGCTTCCAATGGGAGATACATGGCCTGATGCAAAGCTTGCTGATTGCTTCTTTTACCTTTGGACATGTAAGCGAGTGGCTATACCCCAAGAGTGGAGAGAGACTATGAAGCTTTTTGCGAAGGAGCTGAAAGCGGTGCCTTTGCACCTATTTGCGGGGAGGGGTTTCAAGGGTTTGCCTTCTATCAGAGTTGTCCCAATCCTATCCTACTGTGTAGCCCTTCTTCCCATTCTTCCCTCGCGACCTGAGGTGCACGATCCTGATCCATTTGGATTGGAATCATGATATTTTGCGTCTTGGCTTGGTGTGATTCTCTACTGGCAGTCGTAAGAAGCTCTTTTTAGCGCAAATGGTGCCAAGGTACTGACTCTGAGCTGACTAGGCCAATTAAATGCACATGTGATCTCTGGAGATGGAAAAACCAAAAAAAACAACCAACTTTACCCGCAAAAAACCCGCAAATATCCGCAAAAAAAACGCAAATACCCGCAAAAACCCGCAAATTCAAAAAAGACGGATTTTGGATTTCTAAGATACCCTGAGATCTGCGTGTGATGCTTGCCAACAATTCAAAGCGCGAAGAAAAAATGAGATAGATCATTTGGATTGCTTAGCTTCTCAAAAATTTGATTCATTCTTTCCACATCATCTAGGATTAGAGTTGATCAGCCCACCGATTCCAGGATTCAAGGGGCTCTGATTAGTTTGCCAGGGGGTTCGTGGCACAATGTCACGAACTACTAGCATAGCAACTCAATCCCGTCAAACTCTTAACGAGGGTTTGGCCCCTTTAGACAGCATGGCGTCCTCAAACGGCGACAAAACCGATGCAGATCTCGATGCTCAGATCGCAGTGCCTTGGATATGCAGCAAGATAGAACCAAAAGGGTGCACAAAAGGGACTCAAAGGGTTGGACCCTCAGCATGCTATCTTAAGTTAAGAAATAAAATTGCATGGATCCATTTAATTTAGTGGGGGTCAGCAAATGGATGTATGTATAATATTCATATCTATACAGATTTGTGGCCAACACCAACTTATAAAAAATATTGATATATGGGGAATATATTCAACACCAGTTTTCTAAGGATGCTTATCGTCAAGTCCAACTGCTTCACACAGCCAAGATGCTCGCCAAGGTGAACTGTGGAACAATCAGGCTGGCCTGGATCTCCACCAAGGGAGATTGGCCTTACTTGCGAAAGAGAATCGTTGCTGCACAATTCAGATGCAGCGGAAGGGGTTTTAATTTGGCCATTTCAAAGAAATAACAGGGAGTGTCACCCATCGACCTATTGATCCCAGGCTGCTGCCTATTGACCGGGTTCACGAGTCTTCGGGTATGTCACCTTTGCACTAGTCAGGAGCCAGCTATCAGAAACTCTATGATCAACACAGTGCCCTAGCAAACATAAACCAATGTGGGTAGTGTGCCAGCCCATGCAGGAGTGGTGGCGGATGGACAACGAAGCACCTTGGAGGTCCCCTGAAAACCGACCAGGACCCAGCCCTTTCAAAGATTGTGAAAGACCCTTTAGCTTCCTACCAGCAGGTGATGACCCAAGAAATATCAAACCAGACATCGTCCATACTTTTCACATTGGATTTGGAGTGGATTTGGCTGCAAGTATTGTGTGGCTTTGCAAATTGGGTATATTCAACAATGGACAGCCACGGCAATCTCTTGATGACAAGTTGAGATGTGCCTACTCTTCTTTTCGGGAGTTTTGCCACGAGACTCATCGGTTTACAGCTTGTGACCAGTGGTGTCTCAAAAAAATGGTAATGGGATCGACTTTTGGGAAAATTTAGCACGATTTGGTTATTTGATTTTTTCTGTATATGTCGTGTGCCAAACAGCTATGACTGGCCAGCAAACCGCCGTTGATGCTAATTAAGGACAAACGACCTCCCAACAAGCCTTGGTGGAAAGGGTCATGACACTGGTGTTGTTTGCCGGTGGTTGGAACATCTATTTCGCAGCATTGAAACTTGGACCCAGTCACAGGTGCATGGTTCAAACCAGCCAATCATCGGCCAGCCTTAGATTCCGAGAATGTTTCAGCTGCCTAGGACTGCAACACTGAAACCTTGGAGACGATGCGATATACGATCTGTAGCGTCAACCTTGTCTTTGATGTTATCTACAGGCATGGAATCTTTATTCCGGCTGACGAAGCTTGCAAAGCCATTCACTATGGTTTTGAGACCTGTGTTACTTGAATATGAAAATTTTGAGTCAAAATCAAGTGCACTCCCTTTGACAGCGACCTTTATTGGATGTGATAGTTGTATGTTTCTTCTACTTAGGTTGGATACTGCCAGCTTGCGTCCATGGCAAAATCTGAAACGCTGAAACTTTTCCGGCTGAGACCCAAAGTCCACATGTGGTGGGATTTTTTTGAACTTATGAGCACCCCGGGACCTTTCCGGTTGAATCCCTTGGCCACGGCTACGTGGTCTGACGAGGATTATATAGGCCGAGTGAGTAGAGTAGCAAGAAGTGTTCATGGAGCAACTGTATCAATCAGTTGTATGAGAAAATGTATTGGCTATTACAAAAGCCAATTTGACAAGATGAAACGCTGACGAGAAGCCACAAAGAAAAAATCTCACCAGGAACTCGGTCTTGATGAGGTCGATGTTGTGCCCACGGAATTGGGAAGGAGGTAATTGGGGGGCTCACCTAGAAATTGTTTAAAACGTTGAAGTTACCTAACAAACCTAGAAAACGGGAAAATCTAAAAAATTCTCGGTTTTGGGTGGTTCAGGTTCTTTTCTCTTTATTTGGCGATAAATCCAACACATCAATGGATATGTCGGGCTCAGGGCGTATTCCGCCACTTCCAAATGTCCTTGTGTACTTGTTGAGCTATAACCTGGTAGCAGCCGCTGGCACAGAACGGTGGCTCGCGTGAGAGAAGCAGGAAAGCGGGGCCGGCATGATATGGCCCAGCAATTTGGCTCCCAAAATACAGTCATCATACCCATTAGTTCGATCGAATTCGAGCGTGGTCGAGCGACTTCGTGAGAAATAATGCTAAATGGCACTAATTAGGGAGATTGTAGGGTGTACTGCGAGGGGGTATTTGAAAAATCCCTAGATTGTCGGCAAGAGCACCTTTTCGGCAAGATGTCTATGAAGCAGCAAGCAGCAAAACTTTACCATGAAAGAATGATGGTAGCCTGCAAATGCTTTTATGACACTGTTGTGCAGATCTATATAGTTCTAACATGAGTCGCCTCACGGGATGTTCTCCCTTTCGCAATTTGTTATCAAACCCATATCAAACAACACGGTCTGAGTCCATTCTTGGAGACATGACTCAGTACAGCGGCTCACGAGCACCTTACAAAGGCTCCGTTGGGCACGGGCAGAGCATGGCGAAGCATGGCGAAGCATGGCGAAGCATTCGCACATGGCTGCGAAATAACAGGGTAAGAACCACGAATAACTGGTTGGTTTCCAAGGTTTGGCCATTGACTCAGCAACCCAAATTTAGAGATTTTAGAGTCTCTCTATGTCATAGTTGCTCATCACACGATGCTACTGGGTCACCTTTAGATCTTGCTACATGGCCTTCGACTCTCTCCAATCTTAGGACTCCGTACCCAAATGTACCCGACCCCCGCTGCACAGAGGGAAACAAGAAATGGCATTCAAGCCAGCCAGCTGTTGAGATTCTACAAGCTGGGCATTATGCTAGCCACATGCTACATAGCTGGCACGGAGAAAATGACTGCTTGATTTCGACTGACCTTGCTGGTCACATTTTGAAATCGGGCCTCTCTGACTGCGCTGACAGCCTGTCCAGTTCCATCATGCTCTGTCACTTGCCTGTCACAACGGGAAGTCTAACTCGGCCAACCTCAACAATCCTGGCAAGTTGTCAGCTGACGGGAACTGCCCCTTTCTTGAACGAATCTGTGCATCTACTGAGAGTGAGAAGCATCTGCAACTGGTGCAAGTTTGTTGATTGGCAAAATGATCTCCGCAACACAGCTTAATGCGCATGCAACAGCCAGCGAAGCGGTCAACACTTTTGCCACATGGAACGTAGCATGGCTGAAGATCTGATGGGATCCGTGGGGCGGCCGGAGCCAAAAGAAAAGAAAGGCCAGGTCAATGTCTGACATCATCCATGATCAATGGTGCATTTCACATTGGTCTCATTCTTTTGTTGATCGGAAATGGATGACTCAGCATTGGCCTCAGCATGAAACATGCTAATTAACACTGGTGCTGCCACATCGATCAGCGCATGCTGATTCGGCAACTCACTGTACCTAACGGCCCTCTCTAAACGGCGCCATTCATATCGTGCGTCGTCCAGATTGAAACGTGCATAGCTGCTTCTGAGTGGCTTCTGGGACGCGGAAAATCTTGGTTCAGGTGTCCGGAAGGACTTGGCGTTGAAGGCAACTTGAATGCCTATCCCATTCCGCAAGTGCCAGCCTCGTTTCTCCGCCAGGCCCCAAAGAAATGCCAACAAGGGCTCGCCATCCTCAACTCTTACTCCAGGAAGGTCAACGCATGCTGACTGCACCGAAGGCTTGAGTGTTTTGGCCTTGCTTACCTGCTTGACAAACTCTGGGCTGTAGGATATAGACCACTTTCCCAGGGACATGATAGCACGCATGTGCGTCAAGTCCATCTCCTTTGTGCCACCATCCACCCACATGTTCTCCGTGGATGTCCATTTCAAGCAGCTGTTTGGGAGGCGCAGAATGGAGCGCATCCACGCAATGCTGAAAGCCATCGACTTCTGGCTGCCAAAACTTGGAGTGTCGGAATTTGATTTGTCGTAAACATCTTTGGCATCCACCACTGCAGTCAATGGAACACTGTTCATGAGAAGGTTGGCTTTGCGACCACTCAATTGGCGACCTTGAGCTAGGGCTAGCAGGCCACGAGCCAGTTGTCCACAATCCAAGCTCTCCTCAGCTGCAAGTGTCTCTGCAGCATATGTCGACCTGCAGACTCGAGGGATTCGGTGGGACCGAGCGTCCAAAATGTTGAACACCCCTTCATCTCCTTGGAGGAGTTCAGGCTGAGCCACCAAAACAAAATAGCAAGCTTGGCTGTAGGTCTTCTCAACCACTTCGCCCACATTGCTGCCTTCTCGAGTCACATTGCCCAAGGCTGCATCTGAAACCACAACGATTCCAGCTTTGCGATAATCCACAGGTCTGAACACCAATTCGAAATTGCTGTGGCGCTTGAACTCACGAACCAAGGAGTTGGCACGGATCAGTGTAGAGATAGTTGGTGGAACTTCTCCCTGAATCGCACTTACACTGAAGCCCATGTCAAAGCGACATTGTGCAACTAGCCATTGCAAACTTCCAATGACAGCTCTGAGCTTCTTGGCTTCTGACGGGTTCAGCGCAGCTGTGACATCTCGTTTGCGATGTCGGTCGATCACAATCTCGACCACATTTTCATGGTATTCCACCATAGAGACACGAACTGTGCCATCTGGTGCCCTGCGAATGCGCTTGCCGCACCAAACAAAATCATCTCGCTCAATCGAGCCAAAACCAAGCTCTGCCCCAATGGCCATGAGAGATTGTTCGGCTATAGGGGATCCTGCAAACAGCAAATCGTCCACATGACTGACGATCACCCCTTGCAAAGTTCTAGTGCCATCGGCATTGGCATCTTTTCCCCAGAGAAACCATAGCGCCCCATCAATGCAGCTCATCTCCCATGAATGTTCGGACATAGCTCTTGCCAGTCGCAACCACCATTGGCGTGGGGCATCGGCCAAACCAAACACGCCCTTGACGATCTTGGCCAACTGGCCCTTTTGCAAAGGAATCGGCGGGCTTGTCTTGGCATTGGTCGCGGCAATCCAAAGCAATCGGGAAACATATGGGTCCCCTTTGAGAAAGGCAGCCTTCACATCTGCAGAAATCAAAGCCCAAGTTTCATGAAATGCAGCAATAATGAAAAGGAGATGCTGAGCATATCTCGAACCTGTTGGCGCATCTCTTCTCAGCTGACCTTCAAGATTGGCTCTGTCTTTGAAACCAGGTACTACCATACGGGCAGAAGGTTTCACGGGCAACGGATGCGAGGCTGATCTCAAACCATCGTTCTTGTCCGTGCAGACAAACCTTGGAACCAGGATTCTGTCCAGCTCTTGTTGTTTGGCCAGCTCATTGTAAACTCGCCGGCTTTCCTCCATGGACAGGATCTCAATGGCATTGTTGTCGATATAGGCGTTCCAACCCTTCACAGCAGCTTCACCCCATAAAGCTTTCTCTTCCGGAGTCATCTTGCTCCACTGGTATTCTTTGCGAGCAGTCTGAGCAAGGTTGACTTCAAAGTCATCAAACAAAGACTCGCCGTTGGGAAACTTCTGACCCAACTTCTGCATGGTCTGCCAATCACGTTCGCACATGTAGGACCATCTTCCATCCCAAGTGCCATGATCATCTTCAAGGCATGACCAAGGGTCTCTGCGATCCTTTTCAACATCAATTTGAAGTTGCAGCAAGGGGTGTAAGCGATCTTGCTGCGATGACAACTTCTCAAGCTCCTCATTGGTCAAAACCAGAGCCTCAAACGCAGGCTGCGATTCCAAAGAACTTGAAGCCACTGCAGAAGACTTGGTTGGCGGCTGCACATCCAAATCCAAAGGGTCAAGCTCTGAAGGACGCTTGATTCCACGTTGCAAGTCATCCAAACTCCTTGCACGTTGCAAAGTCTGCCGCAAAGAACTCGGTTCAGATTGACCAGAGGGTGAGCCAGGCACCGGAACTTGTGAGGCTTGCAAAATCAAGTCCGGAATAGGCGTTCCTGGAGCTGCAGAGCTTGCTGGGGCTGAAACACCTGAAGCAATGGAAGATCTCGGCGTAGGACCAATGCTCCCTGAGGGCTCAGGCGGAGGTTGCAGGGCTGCCACAATTTCCTGCGGTGACAAACTCGCAGGCGTTGAGCCACCAGGAACTGGAATTGGCAAAGGTTCTGGATCTTCCAACGTAGCAGTCTGACCTCCTTGATCTCGCCCAGCATCATGCTTTGCAGCATCAATCACCTCATCAATGGCTGCCTGCCAAGATCCTGCCGCAATGCTTTCGAGCGAAGAGGCTGCTCGAACATGCTCCAATGGGCATTTGGTCAGTTGCCCACGATAGGAAATGAAGCAATTGGCGGCCACATCACCTTCCATGGCAACAAGAAGTCCGGGGCCGTGCCATCTTCGTAACGCCAGTTTGCGTCTCGAACCGGGACCACTTGCACGACCGGCATACTTCTGGGCTCGCCAGAAGAAAACCAGATCACCCGGCGTAGGCACTCGATCCTGCGTAGAAGATCTGGATCTCGCAAGCTCTGCTGTGCGGAGGCTTCGACTGTAATGGAGTCGAACCATGGCCAATCTGGCCGTTTCTCGAAGTGCCACCTGCTTCGCCAGTGAAGGTTCTGCAGATATGAGCGAGTGCTCAGCAAGTCTTTGCGAGAAATTGTTCAGCACGTCCCCATAAGCCGGTGGAATGCGACCTGTCACACACTGAATCGGCGCAGTGCCGTTGTCATGCACATCATCATTGTAAGCTGAAACTGCTTCTGACACTGCCTGATCCATACCACTCAAGGTTGAAATGAAGTGGGTATGTGTGATAGAGCCCAAAACAGCCTTCAAAGTGCCACCACTGCGCTCTGCGATCCCATTCTGCCAGGGTGCGCCAACTGCAATGTGATGCAGATGGATTGATTTGCTGTCGCACCAATCGGCAAACACAGAGGAGATAAATTCTCTTCCTTGGTCCGCAATGATGGTCATAGGCGTGCCCAAAAGCGGCAACCATCTGGTGTTCAAAAACTCAATGAAGGACTCAGAGGACTTGTCCTTCAACACGGCAGCAGCCTGAAATCTCGAAACTGCATCAGTGGCATGTGCAACCACATAGGTTTGCCGCAATGAATCTTCGACCAACACCAGATCTACGTGGATTTGCTGTCCAACTTCACGAGGTGGAGGAAGACCTGCTGGCAATCGAGCCCGCGGCTGGCGTCTTTCCTGGCAAACTGCACACTTCAGGCGGCGAGCAGCCAAGACAGCTTCTTTAGGGGCTCCACATAGAAGAAGCGCACGTGCCAACCGAGTTGAGCTACGATGGCCGGTGTTCACGTGCAGTCTGTAAACTGCAGCTTTCACAGCAGGGGTCACCACCAAACTTTCATCATCATTGGCCAGTTCAAACGATCCATCTGACTCGATTTGCAACTCCGAGCCATCTGCCACCTCATCCTGCAAGCCAGCGGCATTAACCTCATGCAGTGCTTCACCATCGGTTTCTTGAAACATTGCTAAGGTCTCAAAGTCAAACTGTTCCATGAAAGACTTCACCACAGCTTCAGAAAACTCGCGGCTGTAATGTCCAGCTGCTTCGGTGATTTTGGAACCGCCAATGACTGGGTCATGCTGGTGTCTGCCATCACAACGTCGGCCTATCATATTTGAAATCAAGGCTTGACTGGAAGAAAGCAGTTTTGTTCGTTTGCGGTGAAGGCCACCATTTTCAGATCGCAAATTGAAGGCACACATATCCACGATAACTGACAAGACATCTGGGCGAGCTTCAAACTTCTTCAGCTCCTCCAACTGCCAAGCTGCGGAAGGTTGTGGATTCTCTATCATGAAATGTCGACCGGCCTTCAACTGCAAGGTTGCAACCTCGATGGCAAACAAAACCAGCTGTTTCGCCGCTTCCCTTCTCTCTTGCAAATCCGCTGGAGGGTTCAAACGGTGCAAGGGTGACCAAGGGCCACAAGGAAAAGCTAAAAATCACAACTTCAGGCTTGTGGAAATCAATGAGATTCAACGCAGCTTTTCGGCGATTGGGTTCCAAAAAATCCCAACCCGTCTTCAACGTCAGGCTGTGACCAGCATTGAGGCCCATACGACGAGCTGCAGCAGCAATGGGTTCCGTGTCGGTGAAAACTTCAGTCACAAAAGGATCTGGAAAGCTCATGTCCACCGTGAAAACCTGATTCTCATGCTGCTTCATCTCATTGATCCAAGTCATGTTGAACACTTCCATGACTCGTTGTTGGTTGGTAGACACCGCCAGTTGGTCTTTGCGATGTCGTTGCCAAGCCTGAGAAATCATCTGCCTGATGGCAGGCTTCACTTTGCAATCTGCCCTCAACTTGAAAGCATCTGTCTTTACTTCGGCATCTGAGGTGGATACATCTCGGCATCCGCTGGCTCCATCTGATTGCTCACTTGCTGTGAACTCATTGCCATCACATGCTGCACCACCTGAGACAGAAGACCCTGCACTCGGTTCTCTGATTCGTTCAACATGGTGCCCACCCGGTTCTCCAACATCTGACTCATGCGGTCCTCGATGAACTGCACTTGATCTGCCAGGGCTTCTTGACGACCCAGGCGCTCCATGTCGGCCACTGTCCTCAACTCTGGACTGGGACTTGAAAGCACGGACCACGTTGATCTCGAAGGCGCGCCCTCTGGCTGAGGCGATGCTGGAGCTGGTGTCGAAGGCGCGGCCAAGGATTTGGCTTTGGGTGCCGAAGGTGCCGGACAGGTCATTGCAATGTCCTGCACAATGGGCTGAACCTTGGCCCTGATCACTGGGATCGTGTCCTTCTCGTCCACTTGAACATCCACCAGGTGTGCCAACTTGATCAGGTCGCCCTTGAGCGTGGGAAGTCCACCTCTCGGGCCAATCAACTGACGAATGGCCGCAGCACGACCAGTCTTTTGAGCCTCGGCGGCAGCTTGCTTCTTCAACTCGGTCATGGAGGCTTGCTTCAGTCTGCTCGCTTGACCACGGTGGGATCGAGCGGCCAACAAGCCATCCAAAACTGGATCTTCGAGGAATGCCAGCCTCCATCCGCAACGATTGCGAAACTGGCTCAAGGCTTGCAAGTTCTGGGCATTGAATCTCTTCTTGTCCAAGGCCATTTGCAAATGAGAGCCAAGGAGGGTTCCAGCTTGACATTGAGCACGAGCCTGTTCCTCCCACTGCTTTGGAGTTTCGATGGAAGGGTATGGAAAAGGCACAAAACGTAGCTGCGAGTGCGATAGCAACCACAAAAGCAAACTTTGTTCGTGCCAGGCTCGACGCTCTTGGGCGCGAAGGATGAACCTTCTCCAACGGTACCAGATTTGGCCGTAGGACCCTGTCTCCTCGTAAAACATCTTTGCTGCCGCTGGCCTCAGGTGCCTGATTGTCTCGTTCACATCCAGTGGGCCCAGCAGCCATGTCTGAGGCGCTGCTTGGGCTTCTGAGGCACTCATCACCAAATGACTCCACGATATGCGTCTGGAATGCACTGCTTGACATGTGAACGTCCGCAGTCTTGCTTTGAGCCGGAGGTCCAAAAAAAACATTCTCATTGAAATGCTCAGTCAGAAAATGGTCACTCACTTGTTTGCTGGTTGTCTTCAACTCATTCTGCTTGTCAGTCAAACAACGATGCAACCAATCTTTTGAACTCATCTGCAATTCAATGATGCCATCCAAACCACAACGCTTCCATCGCAAAACTGGGAGCCTCGGCCAAAGCTCTGCAAGAAGAGGCAGCATGTAGTGCCCCGCAGACATTTGCTCCAAACGTTGGGTCTCGGCCTCAAGGTGCTTGAAGCTAATAGTTTTGTCTGCAAAATCCAGCACTCCGCCAACTGACTCCAAAAAATCACGACCCAAAAGCAAGCCAAGAGATGGAACTGGAACCAATGACACCCAAATCAGCAAAACACGACCACCCACAAATGCTGGGATTCGCCATCGATGAGTGCTAGGCACCACTCCACCATTGCCGAACCTGAAGTTCTCATGCTCTGTGATTTCTTGAATCAGCTCAGTCACAAAAGGTGGGGCTGACTCACGAAGTCTGGCTGTATAGGCTTCCAACCACTTTGGTCCAGTGCAAGTACGATTGCAAGCTGAGTCGAGAGCACCGACGAGCATCTTGTCCTTGGAAATGTTCCTGGCATCGGACAACATCACTGGGTGGCTGGTGCCGTAGATGTTGGCATGCAATGCTTGGTCAAGGCTAAGTCCAGGGGAATGCAAAACCATGGAAGCTTCATGAATTGGTGCTCCATCATCCGCAAAAGGTGTTGGATCAACATCTGACGCACAAACTTCAGTGAAGCGAACTTGCTTGATGGCAGCTTTCACTCCTTTCTTCGCAAGTCCCTGTCCAGGTTTTTGACATTCTTTGTCACCTGCCCAGTGGCCTGGAAGGCCGCAATCGAAACATGGGTGTTTGGCGTTCTTCTTGGAAGGATTGCCAGGCTTCCCATCCGTTTTCTTGTATCCCCGGTCTTTTCGAATTTCTTGAAGACGAGTCCGAGCCTCCCTCATAGTGACGAGGGTTTCCGCTGCTGTTTCAAAGTTGGCTTCCAAAGCCTCTAGTGCAGCTGGATCCATACCATCCTGCTCTGCATCTTCAAGTTCTGTTGCAAATGCTTGAGCTTCTCGTTGAATTGCAGCTTCTAAGGATGTCTCTGCATCATCCTCAACCACATCCGGCTCAGCATCCGCCGGTTCATCAACTGTATCCTCCGGCACCTCAGTCAAATAGACCCTTTTCGCCGGAGTGGATGAGCCAGATCGACGGCTCACATCTGACAACGTTCGAAAGGAGCTTGAAGATGCAGCTGAACTCGAACCAGATGGCGTAGCGCCAGATCCAAACATGCGTCTGATTGTCAGCTTGGGCTTGTTATCCATGCGATCACTGCCAAGTCTTCTGAACAGCGGGTCTGCTTGATGAAGGTCTCGAAAAAGACGCAAGGACTCCTGCTCGATGTGTTCATATTCATCACGGCCTTGCAATGATGTCTCAAGCAGTTGTTTACGTAAAGAATCCAAACCAAGCTTCTCCATGTAAAACCATCCCAATTCAGATGGGGGCAACGTCACTCCCTCACTTTTCAGATCGGCCACCGCCGTGCGAAAGCGAGTTGAAAATTCACTGACTCGCTCACATGGCTTCCGATGCAACTGATTGTAAAAGTGACTCCTCAGCTCACCGCGCTTATCCAGTGTTGATTTTCCATTGATACCCTCAAGGGCTTCCAACAGACGATTCAAACCGCTGAGATAGTCAACAGGGGTGATTACCACCATATCACCAGAATCAGGGTCCCGGGCCTCAACCTGGGGTTGGTGCTTCAGCTCGTCCGGGTCGAACTCCTCACCACGCTGGCGCACAATGCCAGACTGCTTCATCAGCCATCTTGCTGCCAAGTTATACCTGGCTGTTGATGCCAGGTCCAAACTGCTGACCCACCATTTCATCTCCCTCTTGAATTGCCTCCACGTCAAAGGGCTGCCATCCCAGGTGGGAACATTGGACCAAGCACCACCTCGCTCTTCACTTCCACCACCGTTTTCAGACATCGAACTGCAAGCTTCTTAGAAGGTCTATTCGATCCCTAGGTGGGTGACACTTGAAACACAGATTGGAGGGACTCAAAAGCAAGGCACCTGGATCGCACTGAGCTCCGAGTACCACTGTTGATTGGCAAAATGATCTCCGCAACACAGCTTAATGCGCATGCAACAGCCAGCGAAGCGGTCAACACTTTTGCCACATGGAACGTAGCATGGCTGAAGATCTGATGGGATCCGTGGGGCGGCCGGAGCCAAAAGAAAAGAAAGGCCAGGTCAATGTCTGACATCATCCATGATCAATGGTGCATTTCACAAAGTTTGATCTGGCTGAGGCTTCAGAGCTTTCCGTTGCTCCAATCCTTCGTTGACTGAAAGCGCGAGCTTCGCGCTTTACACGCACGACTCGGTCGGCGACAATTTTTTCGCATATTAGGGGCCTCTTGGATCGGAGACCAATGGAGATCAATGTTCCAGGTAATAGATTTAATAGGGCCTCATCACTTGGATCTACCCATGCTGTCAGCTAACGGCTGGAACAACTGTCCCTGCCCGTTGAGTAAGAACTCACTTTCAGCTGGAACGGCAGAATGGCCGTCCCATCCTGGAAGTTGCTGGTGCAACCAGGTCCTGAACCTCTCGCGCCTTCCAGTACCGCTCGTTCATCCCATTTCTTTGAGAGGGATAGTCTTGATGGATTCAATGATTCAACTAATCGATGTTCCTAACTGCGATGCACAGATGTTCGAAGGCAGCGACGTTTCCAACCAACCACGAGGTCTGACTGTCTGACTGACATAAGCTCAACAACTTTGAATCGAGGCAATCGAATCTTTCTGTCAATCCGTTGGCACAAACAGGATTCGATGTTCAGTCAGTCTGCACGGGCATTTAACCCAAAGCCGGCAGTAGTGAGAACACCCCCGCGAGCCATCAGTCCCTACGAACGCTCTCTTCAAGTCACTGGATTCGCGAATGTCGCATCGCTGGATGCAAAATGGGAGGATGTTCCTAACATGGAAACCAACATCGCTGGATGCGACATTAAAAACTTGAGCACACAGCTCTGGTGTTTCTTATGGGAATTATTAAGACTTGGCTGTAGAAAACTGGCAAGAAACTGCGTGTCTGTCAATCGAGACTGGGCAAGTCTGGTACAGTATGGCCTGCCACCAGGCAGACTTAGCAGACTCTCGATTTTGACCCAAACACGGCCTGACAACTTGAGCAGCGGTGAATCCCAATGAACTGATGCGTTTCGGCTTTCTCCCTTCCAGACTCGGCGACTGCAAAGTGAGCAAAGTTGAAGCCGAAAAAGTAGCAGTGTAAGCCTCTTGCAACAAGCCCTCAGTTCTGTTCAACTTCTCTGTGCCACATCAGGTCTTATCTCAGTCAACTTCCGACTTGAAACTTGGCTTCAGGGTCTGTGGTGTCTGTGGTTTGACTTAGGCACCCAAGTCTCCGAGAAAGGCGTGAAACACAAATCAACTCATGCAAGTGTCGATTCTGAAAGAGGCTTGATGCGTCCCTTCCATGGATTCCGGAATGGGATCAATGGGATTTTCAGAACCTGTGGAATGAACAAACCCTATAGCATCCCACAAAAAACCTTACAAGGCTATCTCGTCTTGAACCGAAAACCAAAACAGTCAGGACCTTGTAATTTCGCCACG